TCCTGCGGCTCCAGCTGCTGCTGCTGCTCCTCCAGCCGCTGTAACTCCCTCTCCTCTCTCTCCAACACAAGCTGTTCGTCACGGGCACGGCGAACACGAGCCTGGTGCCTAGTCGGGTAGGGGTGGGGGGGTGGAGTAGTGTCCGAAGCAGCGGCAGCTTCAGAGTCCACCCCAGAAGAACTAGGCGCACCACCCCCAGAGGCAGCACTAACACCAGCTCCAGACCCAGGCTCACCTGAACCCGAAGGAGGCGCACCCTCACCCCCAGACGCAGCACCCCCAGTGGCCGCGCGACCAGCACCAGCTCCCGGACGACAAGAGTCCTCCGCACCCACCGGGACAGCTCCAACTCCACAACCAGAAACTCCAGCTCCAACTCCAGCTCCAACTCCAGCACCCCCAGAACCAGAAACTCTAGTGCCAACTCCAGCACCAACTCCAGCTCCAACTCCAGCACCCCCAGAACAAGAAACCGGTACAGGAACAGGCGCAGCACCAACCTCTCGAGAGCTAGCACCAGCGGCACGCTGCGAGGAGGACTGTGGGGAGGGAGGCTGTACCGGAGGGGCTACCGAAGGAGGAGGGGTAGCCTGGGACACACCTGACGGGGCTGGACCAGGGGGGGGAGGCTGTACCGGGGGAGCAGGAGTGGGGGCTGCAGTCAGGAAGAAGGGGGGAGGAGGAGCCGGGAGACCTCGACTGGGGTACCTGACGTAGTACGGAGTGGACTCCTCGAAACGGACGTCACGGGAGTCAAAGAACCGGTGAGAGGGAGGGTGGTAAAAGGTGAAGTCAGAGGAGTCCTCAGGAAAACCAAGGAAGACACAGGGGACGGCACGAGGCGAGAGCTTGTCCGCGGAGGTGTCGCGGACAAGAGCCAAGCACCCCCAGACGCGAAACCGCGACGCAACACCAGGGGACCCTGTCCAAAGACTGGTCGGTGACACCTCTGGTCGAGAGACACGTGGCCAGAGGTTCAGCTGGTGCGCGGCGTACCTGACCGCATAGGGCCTCAGAAAATGGGGGGCACAGGCGTGAGTCAGGGAGGTGCGGGCGATCTCCATGACCAGGCCTATGCGGCGCTCAGCAACCCCATTCTGCTGTGGGGACTCTGGAAGCGTCCAGGACTGACGAATGCCCTGCTCGCGACAGAATCCAGCGAGAATGCCGGAGCGAAACTCACCCCCACGGTCGGAGTGGAGACAGCTGACACGACGACCACGAGTGTCCTCGGTGGTGAGCAACCACCTGATCAGCGTAGAAGTCACCTCAGACTTCTTCGCCAGAGGGAACACTGTGGTGTAGCGGGAGAAGTCGTCAACGACCACCAGAAAGTAACGCTCACGCTCAGGGCCTAGACGAGGGGCGGGGCCCCAGACGTCCAAGTGAAGCGTCTCAAAAGGCTCGGTGGCCGGACGTAGGGAGGAGGAGTGAGGGGTGGCGCGCAGCCGACCTCGACGCAGGAACCACACGGCGGCGCAAGCGAAGGCGGCAGCGACGGCAAGACACGTGGGAGGCCTAGGACAAGACGCTGACTGGACATAGCGCGCAGACGAGGAAGGGACGGGTGCCCCATCCGGTGGTGCCACAGAACGGTGGGGTGGGCAAGCGTCCGGCAGGAGCACGACGCAGCGACTGGAACAGACGTAGGAACCAGACACGACACAGACACCTGGGGGGACGAAGCAACCTGGTGAGACGCGGGGACCCGAACGGGGGGGGGGGACCGGGGGCAGTGGCAGTAGGGGGGGCTGCTGGTGCGGCCGCTGGTGCTGCTGCTGCTGCTGCTGCTGCGGCTGCGGCTGTTGCTGCTGCTGCGGCTGCTGCTGCGGCGCACGCGGGCCAGTGTGAAGAGTGTAGAGACCCGAGCCCGGCTCAGCAGTAAAGGTAGCAAGAGGCTGGTAAGAGTCTCCGTCAACACACACCGCAGTCTCTCCAGAAGGCTCAAACCACACACCCACGTGCTGACTCACGAGGGGTCGCACGCCCACCAAGTTCCGGGAGAACGAGGGGACGTGAAACCCAGTGAGAGACCCGGAGGGAGCAGCAGGACACGGTAAAGTGGTAGTGTGACGTGCAGTGACTGGTCCCGTAGTGGGATCAGCCAACGCAACAGAAACAGGCGCAGGAAGAGGTGTAAGTGTCGTGCTGTCCCGGAAGAAGCAGTGGGAGGCTCCAGAGTCCAGCGTGAACGACAGCGAAGCGTCCTCTGAGGTAGTCGCTGGTCTAGAGTCTACACAAGTACCTACACTAGCAACAGGCAACTGAGCAAGACTAGCACCTAAGCTAACAACACCAGAGTAAACAGAGTCAGAAACACTAGAGTCAACAACAGCATACATAGCATGAGGAGCACTAATCAGATCAACTAACTGCTCAACAGACATGCCCCACAGAGCGGAGCCGTAGCGCTGAACCAGAGGAAGCCAGTCAGGACCGTGTCAGTGAGCTGAGCAAAGCACTGACCAGGGGGGTGAAAGCGGCCACAAGGGTGGCCCCGACGAGGACCTGTCAGAACCTGGTAGGGGCAGGGAGGGTAAGCAGTACCGCGCTGGGGCTGACGCAGCCCCGACCCCGGAGCCAGCTGCTGACGATGCTGCTGCTGAGGCTGCTGGGAGGAAAGGGGCTGCTGCTGCTGCTGAAGGTGCTGCTGCCGCTGAGCCTGGTACCACGCCGCTGCTCCACCTAGCGGGGCCGGCAGTACAGGAGGCGACTGACGAGCTCGGGGGTCGCCGCCACCAGCAGGCGCAGTGGAGTCACCAGCCGCTGCACGAGGGGTCTCTCCAGACGCTGCACTCCCACCACCGCCAGTCGCAACAGCACCCCCACTACCTCTGCTACCTCCACCTCCACCTCCACCAGAACTACCTTTCTTGCCCCCCTTGCCGCGGGACCGCGACGCAGTCGTAACAGCAGCCGCAGTCGCGTCAGTAGCGGCAGTGGCGAGAGAGGCAGTGAAGGTGGGTAACTGCGGGACTGTGCACCCGTGGAAGAGTGGGGGGGACACAGTACCAGAGGCGGCAGCTACCGAGTGAAGGTTGCTCTCGACGTCCTTGAGTGCAGACTCAAGGACCTCGATAGTCAGCTCACTAGGGTGCTTCAGCAGAAGCGCGTCACGAACGGAGGCTAGGCGGTCAGGGAGGCTAGTGGCGATGAAATAGACAGTAATCGCCATGGGGGGGAGGAAGCAGTGCAAGCTGTGCCTCAGTGCAAGCAGCGCGGTAACTAGCGTCGAGCGAGCGGAGGTGAGCGATCAAGTCAGCAGAGCGCTCAAACGAGGTGAGATCAGGAAACAGGAACGGGAGGAAAAGACGGCCAAGAGAGACAGTAGCGGGAGTACAGTAGCGGGCCTTAATCGCAGTGAGGTACGCAGCAGCGGTGCGAACCTGAGTAAAGTGGACCTCCTCTGACTCAGGGAGGAGGCTGCTGAGTGCGATGCAGGCCGCAGCGTCACGCGACGTCCAAGCCGTCCGGTCAGCGCGCTGACGGGCAAAGCGAGCCGTAGCAGCGTCGTCAGGGGCAGAGCCTAAAGCTGTAGGCTCGGGGGGCTCGGGGAGGTCACCAGTAGCGTGCGACCAGAGGGTCTCGCCCCCCTGGACCTGACTCTCTAACAGACGGCGAACGCGAAGAAGCCAGACGGAAAAGTCAAGGGGTCTACCGTCAGCGTCGAAACGAAGAACTCGCGGAGTCGCCATAGTGAGAACTAACGCAAACGAACAGGCGAGTAACAACCGGGAGGAAGAGTACTCAGTCGCAGCGGAAGAGCGGGCTAGGGCGACGGGCCAGGGCGTAGGGTAGGGCAACCGGCCAGGGCGTAGGGTAGGGCAACGGGCCAGGGCTTAGGGTAGGGCGACGGGCCAGGGCGTAGGGAAGGGCAACGGGCCAGGGCGGAGGTAAGGGCGACGGGGCAGGGCTTAGGGTAGGGCGACGGGCCAGGGCTTAGAGTAGGGCGACGGGCTAGGGCGTAGGGCAGGGCGACGGGACGGGAGAAAGGGCGGGAGCGACGAGACGGGGCAGGGCGACGCGACGGGGCAGGGCGATGGGACGGGACAGGGCGACGGGACGGGGCAGGGCGACGCGACGGGGCAGGGCGACGCGACGGAACAGGGCGACGGGACGGGGGGGAACGGGCGGGCACGACGCGACGGGGGGGAACGGGCGGGCACGACGCGACGGGGGGAACGGGCGCGACGCGACGAGGGGAAAGGGCGCGACGCGACGGGGGGAAAGGGCGCGACGCGACGGGACAGGGCGACGCGACGGGGGGGGGGGGGGGGGGAAGGGCGCTAGGTAACGGGGAGAAAGGGCGCTAAGCGACGGGGGGAAAGGGCGCTAGGCTCGGTACTAGGCGCGGTAACAACGGAACTGGTACGAACGAGAGGTAGGGTCAGGCTCGGGAGGTACGAACGGAGAACGGAGGAACGGGATCCCACAGGATCCTAACCTAGCTGATACCATGTCAGAATGAGGAATGGGTGATGCCATTGATGTTGGTTGGGGTACATATGACAAACCCTAACTTCTGTACCCCCTAAGACAAACCTCACTATAGGCTACAACATTTGACACCTCGTAATCCGATGTGTAATCACCTAGTGATCAGGTGTGTATCCAAGTGGAGGCCCGAACCGAACCGACTCATGTGAATCACGAACCTGCCAAAGCTACACCACGACACAGGAGTGCACCCGCCTACATCAATTGCAAACTTAACAATGCCACACCCCACTTGATCTGCAGCAAAAAACAGTGTTGACTTGGCAGCAGAGTAGGGCACTTGGCAGCTGCAAGCATATAGAGCAGAGAACAACACTTCAGCAAGCCAAGCTCCCAAGGAAATAAGCAGACTGCATAGATGTTACAGAGGGTTATATGTACCAGAATGTACGGTACATGGGATGGGATATTGCACGGTTTACTGTTCCCAAAGAAATTTTACCACGAGCGCCCTTCAAGAGCTTGCGACAAGATTGCAGGCCCTTTCTTACCACGGGCGCCCTTCAAGTCGACAACCTCCTCTTCATTACTTTCGGCTTCTTGGCCTTCACACCTCCCACTTTACCCCCTGTGCTCCCTCTTCTCCTCTTCCCCTTGCCCACCTCCTTATCCCCTCCTCCCTCCGCCCTTTCCACACCCTCCTCCTCCCCTTGCCGTTCCGCCACCTTCACAGCCATTTTCGTCGGCAAATCAACCTCCGCCATGTAGATCGGCAGAGCGAGCGAGTCCGTGGCTCGTATATGCAACGAGCTCACATTCTTCCATTTCTTCGGCACATGCTCCACCGCCCCCGCCACCACCGCCATCACATTCCCCACAATCTCCGCTTCGCTCATGCCGAACCTCGCCGCCCGCACGCTCATGGATGGGCCCCCACTCACATACAAGTACGTGCTGTCACACGCCTCTCGCACACTCTTCGCCCACTCCTTCCCCCGGAGCTTCACAGGGATGGGGTGCTTCTTCTTCTTGAAGAACTTTGTGCCAATAAGGGGGGGCAGCTGGTGGATGATGTCAATATCGGCCAGGAAGAGGTCGTACGAACCGAGCAGTTGCCGCTTCGCCTCGTACTGCTTGTACTTGGTGCGCAGCTTGGTGAGGCCGATCACCTTGGTGATGCCGGCTGAACCCTGGGGAGTTTCAAAGGTGGTGTGGGGAGGGAGGGAGGGAAAATAGGGCATGTTAAGGGGCTTCGCCTCGCATTGCTTGTACTTGGTGCGCAGCTTGGTCAGCCCGATCACCTCGGTAATGCCGGCTGAACCCAGGGGGGATTAAGGAAGGGGGGGGAAGGGAGTAATGCTTGGCCACGTACTGCTTGTATTTAAAGCGCAGCTTGGTTAGGTCAATCACCTTGGTGACCCGTGCTGAACCCTGGCGAGTGGTAGGTGGGGGCGGGATAAGAATAAGGCATGGTGAGGAGCTTGGCATCGTACTGCTTGTGATTGGTTGGACTCATCAGCTTAGTGATCCCTGCTCGAATCTGGGAGAGAGATGCAAAGGTGGAAAGGAGAAGCGAAACTAGGTCACGTTACACGATTGGCCTCGTACTGCTTGTGCGAAGCTTCGTCACGCATGTGACTTTGGTGATGTCCGCTGGCCAAACGACAGCCCTGAGCTAGAGCGAAGAGGGGAGGATGTGTGGGGTTGGATAACACGGGGTAGCAGGGTGGAGTAGGGTAGAATGAGGTGGGATATGTTTGCCTTTTCTGATGACGTTTGCACATAGTGTGGTCCGCGCGAATGCACGCATGTCCGCGTGCGCCCGCGTGTGTCTGCGTGAGTCTAAGAGAAATTAAGTGAGTTTCACGTTCACGCATTCATGTGGGAATTCTGCTGTCATGCTGCGACGTGTATAGATGGATATGCCAAAACTACGATGCTCGTATTCAGGATTTCACCCTTGCGAAGAGGGACATAAATGATTACGCGCATGGTGATTTACGTCCCTCCAGCGACCGACGATACCCTCTTAAAACCCGCGCCGCCATCCCCGTTTGAAGAGAAATCCAGAAACCTCCGTGACCCGCTTGTTCCTCACACACAGCAATAGAACCATTCTTAAACCCCAGCTTCCCCAAAGCCCTCTTAATGTGAAGCCTCGCTCTCCGAACGACGCACAGACCTGCTTCAGAAACTTCTCCTTGGACTTTTTGTGGCCGCCCTTAGGGTCGTCATTGACCAGCAAGCAGACCTCCTTGCCCGCATCCAATGGATACAGCGAGTGCGGGATCGGCAGGCGAAACCCGCTCGTCTTGGCGAAGTCTGGCGAAGACTTGAGCCCGATTACCACGTGAATCAGCTCGTCGTCGTCCTCCGCAAAAAGCTCGTGTTCCGATTTCGCTTTTCGCCGTGCGGTCATCCATTTGACTAACGACTGCACGGCTCGCTCCACCTGCCCGCGATCCACGCGATTAAAGCTCTCAGCGCTCGTTCCCTTGCCCGCTGCCATGGCAGCAAAGAAAGCAACTAAGGCAGGCAAGACTAGCTACTTGCTGTCTCAATGGATCAGGTCACCAAGGTTGTTTGGAGGGGACGCGAGGAGGGGTCGAAACTGCAAAGCGAGAATGTCCTTGGAGGGAAATGCGAGGTGTGTTCACTGAAGATGTCCTCGCTAAAAAGAAGCAGCATTGGAAAAATCGTGAGGACGCGTCAACTCCCAAATTGGCAAGATCAGGGGAGGTTCGGTTCTGCACACCGATCTATCACCACACCGGTGTTCCCAACAGCCGATTTGCGATCGAGGGGCTCCATCGAGCCACAGGCGACGTTGAAAAAATCTGGGGCAAATTTTCACGATCGCCACAACTGCGCGATCGATCGCTGTCTTGACGACTTCGTCAAAACACTGTACACTCCGCACGATCGATCGCCGAAATGACTTGGGAGTTGACACGTCCGGGGTTTGGAGAGTTTTAGGGACGCGAAGTGGGCCCACGGAAGATGTCCTCGCTAAAAACAAACAGCATTGGATACAATATTAGGTGGATAGGGTGGAAGGTTCTAGAATCCAAACTAGCTAACAAGCTGAGAAGAAACGAGAATGAATGAACTATGAAACAGTTGGGTACAAGTACTAACCCTAATTCAGTTGTACCCCTTATGGGCTACCCCACTACAGCCTACACACATGTATAAGCTGTAATGTTCTGACACACCCCCATAGGCAAAGTGGGGGAGAACAAGGGGTCACAAGACCAGTCAAGCAAAGCAAAGCAAGCTCAGGGTGGATCACAAAGTCACCACACATTCCGAGCACAATTTCAAGGCCACAAGGCCAGTTCACATGCAGGAGTACATATATATAAAAGGCTAGACAAGTAAGAGCAGGTGTATATATATATGTAACAGTACAAACAAGGTCAAGAGGTGAGCAAGTGAGGCAAGGCAGGCACAAGACCCAGCTGAGTACAGAAACGCTGATGATCACAAGGCGCAAGCGCCTTGGTGAAGATATCAGCAGTGTTGGCCTCAGAGGCCACGTACGCAAGGCGCAGCTGACCACGCTGCTGCAGCTCACGAACAAGGAAGTAGCGGAGAGCAATGTGTTTCGTTCTGTGCTCCAGTCGCTGCTCCCGACACAAGGCCAGCATGGCCTTGTTGTCTACGTACAGGACTAGAGGAGAACGAGGCGGCTCTCCGAGGTCAGTCAGCAGGTAGGTGAGCCAGCGAAGCTCCTGTGCAGCCATGGCTCCTGCGTAGATCTCGGCCTCACAACTGGAGCCGAGAACAGAAGACGAGCGCGTAGCCCGCCACGAAACAGAGCCGGAACCAAGGCTGAAGGTGCAAACCTGTGACGACCGCTGCGTAGCCTGGTCGTCAGCCCAAGAAGCGTCTGCGTGCCCAGTGAGGACCACTGGACTCTGCCCTCCAAGCACAAGCCCCATGCCCGACGTACTGCACAAGTAGCGCAACACCCTCTTCGCTGCAGCCATGTGCTCCGGTCTGTATCTCCCAGGAGAAACATAGCGTGCAAGAATGCTAAGAGGGTATGTAAGGTCAGGTCGTGTGCAGGTCATCAAGTACATGAGGCAGCCAACAAGCTCTGGGTACGGGCCACTCGACTCTACGGACTCATCCGAAGGCAGAGCTGAGAGCGAGTGGCGAGTAGGTAGAGGAGTGGCCTGAGGCGAGGAGTACGTGAAGCTGAAGCGCTGAAGGACCTGCTGCACCATGTGTGACTGACTGAGGGTAATGGTGTGGCGTGCTCTGTCCTGGGTGATCTGCAAGCCAAGGTAGCTGCGCAGTTCACCCAGGTCAGTGCACGTGTGTCTCTTCTGTAGCTCGGACTTCATGCGGGTGAGTCCAGCAGTGTCAGCTGTGGCAAAGACCAAAGTCGACGAACACGAGGATGTAGAACGGCGGCAAAGAAGTCTCGGTGCGCAGAAACAGCGACGGGTCGGCAGTAGAGGGAGCGAACCCAAGAGCCGCAAATGTAGTATTCAGTGTGTCGTGCCACTCACGTGGTGCCTGGCGGAGACCGTAGACTGGCCGCCGGAGGCTCCACTAGGTTCCAGGAGGAAAAGACCCAGTAAAGCCAGGTGGGGGACGCAGCCACATCTCCTCGTGCAGGCTGCCCTGCAAGAAAACAGTGCTGAAGTGAAGAAAGTGCAGCTCGTAGTCACGGTGAGCAGCTATGTGCAGCAGTACCCGAAGAGTGGTCATCTTCGGGGTGGGAGAGAAGGTCTGAAAGTAGTCAACTCCCTGCCGCTGACTGAAGCCACGAGCCACGTAACGCGCCTTGAAGACAGGCGGAGAACCCGCCGGCCGCTTCACCCTGAAAATCCACATGCCACTGACGATGTTCCCCACAGGCGGGGGAACCTCGTCAACGTAGGTGCCTGTGGACTTCCAGGAAGCCATCTCTGTGTCCATAGCTCCCCGCCACTGAGAGGAGTAGGGACCCTCTATCGCCTCCGCGTAAGAGCGCGGAGTCGGGATGTCAAGTGCATCCGGGTCTCCCTCAGGGGTAAGCAATACCGACACAAGATGAGGTGAAGCAGCAGCCAAACACTGGAACTCCTCCTGCCTCTCCTCAAGGACGTCCGTGCTAAGGGCACACTCATCCCGGACGGACGGAGGACAGACAGACTCAGACTCAGCGACAAGACTAGCAGCGTAGTCTAGACGACAGCGAGCAGCAAAGTCGACGAGCTCAGCAACTAGGGCAGACGCAGCGGTGGATTCAAAGGAAGGGTCAGTGACGACAGTAGCAAGGAGACGCGTGACAGTAGGACTGGCAGCACTAAGAGAGTCCGACTCCAGGTCGGCAAGAGCAGGAAGAGAGGACGCAGGAGGAGAAGGCAAAGGGGCACGCAGAGGAGCAGTGGACGGACGTAGAGACATCCGATGCCTGCCTGGGACAGGAGGAGGACGCTAACGTGAACCACGACCACTAGTGCGAGCAGCACAGACAGGCGACGCAGGGCGAGACGCAGGCTCACGACGCTTAGCAAGACCTCCAGTAGGACCAGTGTAGGGAGAAGGAGCTGGCAGTGGGGAGGCCGGCTGTAACTGTAACTGTAACGGGACAAGCTGTGGGCACTCCAAGGGAGGAGGAGGACCAGTAGAAGGCGGGAGACCTAGAACCTACTGAAGGAGCGGAACGAAGTACGGCCAAGGCCGCGCGGCGACTCTAGACACAGCAGGGACACCACCAGTACCCCCAAGGGTAGCACCCGCGTTAGCAGCACCTCCAGCTCCAGTACCTTCAGCAGCACCAGTAGCACCCCCAGGAGGACCACCTCCAGGACCGACAGCAGTAGTCTCAGCGCCAACACCCTCAGCAGCTTTAGCTCCAGAAGTACCTGCAGGCCCAGCAGCTCCAGTACTCCCTGTACGAGCACCTCCGGGACCTACGGCACCAGCAACCTCAGCAGCCGAAGAAACTCCAGCTCTAGCAGCACGCCTTAGCCCCGGGCATACCACTCGCGCAGCTCCTGTGGAGAGAGTGGCTCCCGTCGAGACGAAGCACCCGGAGAAACGCCACGCACAGCACGGCTTGACGCCACACGAGCAGGCCCAGCTCCCTCAGGCTCCGCACCCCCAGGCGTAGCACCCCCAGGCTGAGCACCCCCAGGCGTAGCACCCCCAGGCTCAGGACCCCTAGGCTCAGCACCCCCAGGCTCAGCATCCCCAGACTCAGCACCCCCAGGCTCAGCACCCCTGAGGATCAGCACCCCCTGTCGTAGTACCCTCAGGCTCAGCACCCCCAGGAGTAGCACCCACACGCTCAACACCCCCAGAGTCAGCACCCCCAGGCTCAGCACCCTCAGCAGCACCTTAGTCACCAGCGACCTCGACAGGCTCAACTGTGTCTACCTAGGACACACCTCAAGGGGCAGGACCTGGGAGTCTACCCGGGGGGGACCTGGCACAAGGAAGAGCGGACGCGGGGGGAGGGACGGAGTGCGGTAGGGGAAGAGACGGTAGTAGGGGACCGACTTGTCAAACGTGACG